AGGAAGTCGCCATGGATAACACTAAACAGAAAACCAGTCAAGTTTTTATAAAGTTATTATAGTAATAGGATTAAATAAATAAAAAAATCACGTTGTATTATAAAGTCATTGTAGTAATAACACTAACTAAAAAAAAACAGTCGTATTGTATTTTAAACTCATTGTAGTAATAACACTAAATACAAAAATCACGTTGTATTATAGTCATTGTAGTAATAACACTAAATAAAAAAATCATGTTGTATTATAAAGTCATTGTAGTAATAACACTAAATAAAAAAATCACGTTGTATTATAAAGTCATTGTAGTAATAACACTAAATAAAAAAAGCATGCTGTATTATAGTCATTGTAGTAATAACACTAAATAAAAAACAATCATGTTGTATTATAAAGTCATTGTAGTAATAACACTAAATACAAAAATCACGTTGTATTATAAAGTCATTGTAGTAATAACACTAAATGAAAAAAATCATGTTGTATTATAGTCATTGTAGTAATAACACTAAATAAAAAAACAATCATGTTGTATTTTAAAGTCAATGTAGTAATAATCTAAACAGAAAAACAGTCGTATTGTATTATAAAGTTATTGTAGTAATAACACTAAACAGAAAACCAGTCGTATTGTATTATAAAGTTATTGTAGTAATAACCTAAACAGAAAACCAGTCGTATTGTATAATAAAGTTATTGTAGTAATAACTAAACAGAAAACCAGTCGTATTGTATTATAAAGTTATTGTAGTAATAACACTAAACAGAAAACCAGTCGTATTGTATTATAAAGTTATTGTAGTAATAACACTAAACAGAAAACCAGTCGTATTGTATAATAAAGTTATTGTAGTAATAACACTAAACAGAAAAACAGTCGTATTGTATTATAAAGTTATTGTAGTAATAACACTAAACAGAAAGCCAGTCGTATTGTATAATAAAGTTATTGTAGTAATAACACTAAACAGAAAATCAGTCGTATTGTATAATAAAGTTATTGTAGTATTAACACTAAACAGAAAACTAGTCGTATTGTATTATAAAGTTATTGTAGTAATAACCTAAACAGAAAACCAGTCGTATTGTATAATAAAGTTATTGTAGTATTAACACTAAACAGAAAACCAGTCGTATTGTATAATAAAGTTATTGTAGTATTAACACTAAACAGAAAACCAGTCGTATTGTATTATAAAGTTATTGTAGTAATAACACTAAACAGAAAACCAGTCGTATTGTATAATAAAGTTATTGTAGTATTAACACTAAACAGAAAACCAGTCGTATTGTATTATAAAGTTATTGTAGTAATAACCTAAACAGAAAACCATGGGGAGTCATTTCATGTATTAATGATCACTTAACAACACATTATTCGTGATCAATTCAGGGACGTAAAGAAATTCAATCTTTATATTACTAGGGACTTTATTATTTCTTAGTTGTTATCACTACCGACTTTAGTTTACACAACGTTTTTTCACTTAACTAAAACTACAATGAAAACCTCTGTGAAAGAACATGAATTGTATCAGTTAATAATAAGTATAACTATAACTAAAATCAAGTAAAACGATAACGTAATAGTAAGGTAAATTGTTTAGTTATCTGGCATATGTACATCCACGTGCGGTCAAATTGAAATCCCCGTGTATGTGAATAGAATGTACCAGAAATGCAGAAAATAGTCATGTAGCTAAACCTTAAGCACAAATTCGTAACTATAAGAATAACTTAACTTAAAAAACAAACTAGAAAACACTCAGTCTGTTGAAGATTATTTATGCTTTTTGGAAACAATAATTAGGTTCGGTATAGTAATTATTAGTATACTGAAGACAGATGTTTTTAATATTCACAATGTTTCAGTTTGGAACGCCTTTTTTTCTGGAACATTGAAAACCCATATTTACCATTTATAATTTGTTTATGCTATACGTTTTTCTTCTTTTGTTTTGATCTAACTGTACCAGAACAGTCTTTGAAGGATATAGTAGAGACTATTTCGCCCTAAAAACACCAAAGGTTGTACTGGGGAATGGGGAACGTGATAGTTATGCTAGCACTGTGATTCCTCCTTTTACGCACATCTTTCAAATGAAAGCAGCTGTTGGTTTTGAAGTGTGGCTGAACCAAATATATTTTTTTTAATCTTCTTATTGGTACCAGACTTAACTTAATCACAGTGGATTTTTTGGGGTCAGTAGGCTCTCTTTCGTAACCGTAGCTTCCATTTTTGCATATGAGAGTGTTGGCCCGGGTTGGCTTGGGTGTGATTTTGGTTGCTGCCCTAAACTCTCTGCTGTGCGAATTTTCGGGCCCTTCCATGGAGGACAGTAAAACTTCTTTTTTGAAAATATAACGTTTTCTTTATTTCAGTTAACGATCTTCCTGTATGAGATTATTCTTCTGAGATAGAGGTCACATACCCCTTCAGGTTACCGATCAAGGTTTGGAAACATTTTACAAGTTGGTCAGCGAAGTTTCTTTTCATGAGCAGGACAGACACCTTGCTATCACATGAACACGCCTCGACATTATGTATGAATTACCTCTTTGTATATGTACTTAGCAATGTAAATTACTTGGACTTTGAAAAAAGTGAAATTACACTGGTTGGGACAATTCGGCCATCTAAGTTACGGGCTATCAACAAAAAAAGCAGTGACGGATGAAAGTTTAATGTATACCAATGTTTAATATGACAAGAAAATATTTTTTTTTTAACTTTTGGTTAGTTCAGATCTACAGTTTTTAGCTAGATCAGCTCAGCTGAATTAATGGTACAGGAGCTTCACAGATAATTTGTTTGTTTATCCTTGGTAGGTTCTAAAAACCAGGGATTTCCAGAAACAGACAATTTCTTTTCGCCCCTCTAATGTCTAAAGAGATTATGTCATAACATTTCGTAAAAAAATGAAAATGTAGTTAAAAAATAAAAGCGTTTGTAACTTATAGATAGGATAACATGCTCGGTATAGTTTAATTTGTTTGCTCTCTACTACTGTGAAAGTGTCGAAGACTTAGTACCCGTAAAGCGTCAAAAGTGCTAGAACTTATACACCTGGAAAAAAGTTAAGCACCCCCAAATATTTTTCAGGATTGCTTATTGAAAATAAGGTTTAATTTTCATGATGTTGAGCAATGTTCATAATTTCAAACATAATTAAAAGGATGTGAGCGTTCAGGTGTGACATTTAAATCAGACGCGTTTTTTACCCCACGTGCAACTTGCTCCCTTCTTCACGTCCAATATGCACTATTTTCTCGTGCATCAAATCCGTATTTAAGTCCCGAATTTCTGAATGACAAAATCATTTTAAGTAAGAATGGCAAGAAGACGGATATCAGAGGCGCAGAAATGGCAAATTATTGGCATGAATTCCGCTGGTATGTCCTACAAGGTGATAGGTAGACAGCTTGGCTATCATTACACAGTGATCAGCCGTTTGGTCATAAAACATGTTGCCACCCAGAATGTTAAGGACCGTCGTCGATCTGGTCGACCATCTGTAACAACCCAACGTGAAGATAGGAGCCTTGGTAGATTGGTCAGACGAAATCCGTTTGCAACAAGCACCCGTCTTAAAAGGCAGTGGTTACCTGGTCGTAATCTGTCAACCAGAACAGTAAGAAATCGTTTAAAATCTGCGGGACTGGAGAGTCATAAAACGCCCGACACTTGACGATCGCCATCGCAGGGTGAGGTTGGCCTGGTGCAGATAGGAGCCTTGGTAGATTGGTCAGACGAAATCCGTTTG